GCGACGCCGCTACGCGACGCAGTGCCGCCTTCACTTTCTTCCAGTGAAAACAAAACGCGAGCGTTTATCGCGGCCCGGTTGAAAGTGACATCGCCGCAACAGCTGGGCCGGACTCCGGAGTCGGAGTGTGTGCTGTTCCCGCCGCGGCCCGAGTCGCCCGGTCGGCCGCTGGACGGGACGCGGGACGTCACGTCGAACCGACGCACAATGGGATTCGGACGATGCGTTCGTGAATTGATTTTTGGGGCTTTGCATTTGAATGATTCCACATAACTATAATAGGGAAGAATGATTCCAAGCGACAATTAATAAAATGTCCGCACTAACTGAGCTGATTCGAGATGCTCTACTTTTCTTACGCTGCGTTAAAGTCTCCTGAGATATTACTGCATCGCATTAAACAGCGATGAACTTTAATTAAATTTTGCTATATCTCTGAGGCAATATTACTAATAATGCACGTTTTTAGCATGATTTAGAACTAAATTTTCATAAAATATCTTGGGGGAGGGAAGGACTGTTCAAAAATGTCGGAGTCGTTGTAGCCTGGACATAAAATTTGGTCAAAAGATCTGCAATCTGCAATTTAAAAATCTATCAATTTTTTTCATGCGAGAAATAAAAATTCAACTCAACTTGGAAAATTGGTTTCACGTCTTATTTCCATAAACATAAGGAAAAATTATAGACTAGAACTGTAAACATTCAAATTTCCCCGCATGTTTAAATTATGAGTGAAAAATAGAAGGTGAAACCAAGAGTGGTTCCCATTTATATGCGCACAGTGTTTAGAGTGTTGGAGCAAAACCTTGGTCGTGGATACAGCGTCAAAAATGCGTTTAAGTCTTAAAAATTTACTAGTGGTTGAGTGCTTTTACCATTTTTTCGGTCATTTATAATTTTTGATAGAACTAAACTAGCACTCCTTCTCGTTTCACCGAGTTGCAGCTTATGTACCTACTGGGGAACTACTAACTGGAGGTTCTTCTGGGAGGACTGGTCTATTCCACCGAGCGACATCAGCAAGGCCGGTCATGTTCTACTTTTCGACCGCATCCTCCCTCCCTCTCCCCCTCCCCCACAATCTCATCTTACATCTTCTGTCCTGATCCTAGACGCCGCTTCGCATCGCGCCGCGCCGGGCCGTCAAGAGCATCCGCGCATGCGCATCCCACACCAGGACTCGGAACAAGGGCCAATTTTGAAACCAGTGACGTCACGTTAGGAACCTGTTGCATTCACTCTTGCTTTTGTTCCGTTGCTTGGATTATGTCAGATTGCCCGGTTTCTGTTGATGGTCAATCTCTTTTTGTGTTGATCGTGCGTGGCGTGGGTTGCCGCTAGCGTACGCTACGCGAGTCGGCGCTTGACCTCAGCGCGTCCGTACGTAGCTTTCGTGGCTTAGTATGAACGCATCCATTCGAAAGAAGTCCAGCTCCTCTGGAAAACTTAAAAGAGAACTTATCTGTTCAAGAGATAGATCGAATTTTGAGATTGAAGGGTGAAAACCGGTTGAAGGCTAATTTTCTGCCCAAAAGGTCTACCATAAATCGTCGTTCCTCTATGACGTAAGGGCGTATCTCAATCTCCACGTGAACCCTGTTCTACATACAAACTCATGCTTTCTGGAGCTCATGCGGAAATCGAGATACGTCTTTACGTCAGAGGGTCGACGAAATTGACTACATTTTGCAATTTGGGACTACAATATCAGGCTTAGTTAAAAAACGACGCATGTACCATCTACCATTAGTATACCTGTGCCTATGTATGAGTGTTTTTACGGATGGAGTAGAAATATGTAGTTCCGAATTGCAAAATGTAGTCCTTTAAACTTCGTGTGAAGCTGTGGAGCCGGGGTGACCTATATGTCTTTGTCATCGGAAGTGCAAAAATGCGCAGAAGTCTCTACGCTGGATGTGAAGTTATAGGAGTAGAAATTAGACTTTGCAAATGCGCTCATCGTGATTTGTAAGTAATTTCCGCAAGGGAACATTCTTCTAGCACAAGTTTGTACCAATCCGTTCGAAATTTATGATAAGCAAATTAGGGAAAACAATCAACCCTTAACTTCCATCCTACATCCATTTGAAACACGCAAAGCGCCCTATTGCAAGCAGAGACTGTATTGCCTCTCCTTCCGATGAAATTCCACGAGCGTATACGGATGAGTTCACCCGGCGGGTCATCACTCATCGGGAGGAAAACCGAGAGCGATGCAATCGGTGCGATCGATGAAGAGCGGTGGGCGAAATTTATTGACCTTGAGCTTTTCCACTTGATCTCCCCTGAAACGCGGGTAACTCACCCGAGAAGCTAGGAACAATGGAGCGTGAATGAAACAAAGAGCCGGAGAAAGATCATCTTGTAGAATTTTGTCATCGACTCCACCGCCGAACCGAACCGCAACAGGATGTCGACGCGCCAAAAGTTGCCGATTTACCCGACGAAACCCTGGATTTCCACGCTCCCTCGCCCTCGGCCACGTCACTTGCAGACGTATATCTTGCAACTCCATGCGTCTAGGCAATGACTTGACGCCTCCCGCTGCACGTCAAGTGCTCTTTCTATCCTTCTGCAGGCATTTCCTTCTTTCCTCTTGGTAGGTTGCTCCTTTTTCTGCCGCATGCCTCTTCTGGCCACCCATCTCAGTTTCTATTTCTTCTCTTCATCCGTCTGTCAGTATGTCTCTCAGTTTTTTATTTCCATCAGAGTTTATCGACTTTGACCTCATCGACTTCTCTATCCGTTCTCTGCCTCTTCTTAATATTTCTCTCTTTCAATTTCGATTTTCCTCCTTTTTTCTGCCCATTACCATTTTTATGAACTTCCGCAGGATGCTTACCTAGGTTTACAATATAATTTTACTTCCGTCTCAGATTATTGAACGGTCTCTTTGTGAAGATGTAGGGATCTACAGTAATTTTAGTTTAGAGACCAACTTTTGCATCCAGTTTCGTCCAAATACGGTATTTTTTCGCTTGTTGGTTTTTTCTTACGATGAAAATTCACATTCATCACCCATATTTCCAATTTAGGTATTGAGTGTGAAAAGTTCCACCAATTGAAAGCATCTCTTCAATTATTCCTCTCTCACATTGACTGATATACGTTAGACACATTGCGCCTTCAATTCGGTAACTCTGCAATGTGTGCTGCGGGAGGGTTGAAAGAATTTCATCACTGCTTTTCATGCAAAGGCACACATTTTTCAGCAAAATTTCAGTTCAGGCCTCTGTGTTCTGTTCATACTCCCACATCTTTGGAGGGGAATTTAAAAAGACTGTAATATTTCTTCGGGTGTTTCACTTTCGTTTAAATTCCGCATAAATTTTCTGGCTGTATTAATTCGAGCTTTTCTGTGCCCCCCCTCCCCCTCCAGTCTTGACGGGAGTGTGCAAACTGACATATTTCTCCAGGTGTTTCATTTTACAAATCAGGTCAAAGCATCTTGTCACCCTGTAAGCCGACGCAGAATCGATTACGCCGTAAGCTACCTGACAGCACGGTGCACTATTGTCCGGCTGGAGCTTGGCTGTGGGGCATGAGTAAATAAAGAGTTTTAACAACAATAATCTCGGGCGATTGTAAATCGTAGCGTTTAGAAAGTTCATGTCGGTTTGGCAGGGGCTGCCGCCGTGACACTGGGCCTGGAATGGTGCTCAACCGCCGGGCGGCAGGGCGTTGTTGCTTGTTATTTATTTTCGTTTATTTCTCGCTTTTTTTTTCTTTTTTTCTTCGGACGTCGTCGTGCTTCCCGCTTCAGCCGTCTTATTCAAATCGGCCGTAGTCGAATGTCAAACCGGGCGATTTATCAAACTGACCCCGTGCTGCTGCAACTGACCGTTGTTAGCTTGGAGTTGTCCGACACAACTTTTGAACAGAACAGGATATTTTGCGTTTATCTGGAGGGAAATGGTCCAATTTATCTTATAGTTTTGCCGGTAACATGGAGAAAAAAATTTGATTTTACGAACCGGATAGGTCAGTAGGCGCTTTCCAGTTCAGAGAACTAAGCTCTAAGTGATCGAACCAATTGCTTCAGTTGACAAATCTCAACCTCAATTCGGCGAGCAAAAGATTCGGTTTTTTGAACCGAAGAACTTTCAACGTGTTCCATATCAACCGAGGTTTTTAGGCTCGGAACACTATAATGCCTCAATATTTGGTGAGCTGATGCTTCGGTCGTTGAACTGAACCTTAAGTTCGTTGAACTAAGCCTTCAGTTCGTCCAATTGAGTCTTCGCCGAAGACTCCTCGGTCCTCCAAAATAAAGTCTGAGCTTGCTAAATGAAAAGCCAGCTTACTGACTTATATTCGGTTTGTATATTTATTGTTTGTTTCCTCTGTGTAACATGATTCGATTTTTTTTAATCTGTGTAAGAGTCCATTGGAACTGAAGAAAAAGAAAGAAAGAACTGAGTGAAGAGACGCTGTATAGATTACCTCTATACCGAGTAAAGATTACCGTTTATAATTGGAAATGAAAAACCTATCAGAAGTTACGTAAAGTGGCAACGCCGCCGCCGCTCATAATAAACGTGCAATATGTCTCCATCTGAATTTTGATCTCCATCTCGCTAGAACCTCCAGCAATCATTCCATTATTTTTATTCTACTCCTTGATCTATTCATAATTCAAAATAATCATATCAGATTGCAAATCGTAGTAGACTCGACGCTTGACTTGGGGCTCGTGTACGTGAATTTGTGATTTGTTGCCGGGGTTCTATTTAAATCTCACAACACGGCATACCATTTAATTTAAATCGTGATTTAATCCTGACTTTAACGCTCATTTGAAAATAGAAATAGGTTATACTGCACGCTAAAGGACCGATCGGCCTTCCTGCAAATCTATAATTTCTGTGACATTTAGATTCTCTAAATCTCACACCATTCCATTTACTGTTTCACCTAGTGTCAAACTATAAAGATGTTCTCTGAGTCTTTCTTCTAAAAATGTTCTCATTCTGATATCGGAAATGTTTTGGTTTCAGGTCAAAGGACACGGAGGCGTCGGCTATGGAACAAGAGGGAGGGAGGTGTTCTTCTTGAACCTCGAAGATGGCTACTTCGGGTGTCAAGTGAACGAATCCACGCAAGTCCTCCAACTCTTCGAACTTTCGCGACTCTGCGATGGCAGGCCAGACTGCTATCGCGGTACCGACGAACTCGCCAACGAACTGAAATGCAGTCGTAAGTACCTTCACCCTTTTTTCTTAGTCAACTTAGTATCATCGACGCTCTGGCAGGATCGCTATCAGTGGCGGTTGGGTGTCGCAGAGCGTACAGAAGCGCTGTAAGAGCGACTTGTTAGTTAGTAACAGTGTCACCGACGAATTTTCACTTGCTCGTAGCTGGGATCGTAGTCTGACAGACTCTGAGCGTGGGAAGTGTAACGTGTGGATGACTGAAATCGACAAAAGCATATCTCTATCACGATGTTTAAACATCTCTGATCATGATTTATTTAAGAAAAAACTAACAAAGGATCCTCTTGGTGTTTTTCGTGAATATTGTTGAATGAATGATGACAATGTCCACAAAATCTCAACCAAATTCGATGTGTTCTCTAAAAAATAAACATAAGCGAAGACTTAACACGTCACAATCGGAAAAACGCGTTTTTCTGCATATTCCATAAATATGTCAGATGTGGGTGCATTGAAAATTGGAAGAAAGATTAATAGACAAAATAAAAGGAGAAAAAAGGTAAGGAAGAAGAAGGAGAGAAAGAAAAATGGGGAAAGCATTAAGCTCATGCTTTCCTGAAAACTCGGTGGGTTATAGGATACAGCTTGGACGGTAACTCAGGGGTAATTTGGATTTTGATGGTAACGTCGTGTTTAGACCCAACAGTGACATTGAATGAAATTTCACTAGGATTCTTGGGATAAGTCTTTATCAAAAAGTTCGTGTCAAGTTGCCACAAAAGCACGACAATTAAGAGGAAGAGAGGCGTCTCTATCAGCGGTGAGCTTTATTAGCGATCCGACGACTGATTGGACTTTAATAGCCGCAACTGCCGCAGAACGCTACACTGGACGTTGCACTGTCTTCGGCCTCTTCATTAGTCCCTGCACTGTACTTTCGTGCTATGGAAGAACGCCTTATGGGTCTTCGAATGTTACCAAATTGTGCCTGACAGATTATTTATTTTCAAGAAAAGTTATGAGTAGTTTTCCTTGAAACTTTCAGATACTTTAGGCAAAATTGCGAGAAAAATTCGCTAAAATTTTGGGTGGTAAATATACAAAAGTTTTTCGAAAAACTTTTATTTTATCAAAGAAAATTTGGCAACGTCTGAAAGCTCTTACGGCGCTCTTCCTTAGCAATGCAGTCTACTCCCCGTCGCGTGTCGCGTCCCGGCTGCCGGCGGCGTTACTTTGAACCGGCTTCGGATTGACAACCGGGTACACCGGCTTCATCCAATGTTAGCCGTTGCCATTTTCCAGTTAAATTTGTATGAAATAAAGGAGAATTATTGATGTAGTTTCTGTTTTTTTTAAAATCTCAGCAACGCTGCAAGGGGAGAATTGTTATTCCTGTCTCTCTGCAGGACGAGTGTCGATTGGCCGCAGAACCACCTCATGCCGGGAGATAGAGTTGATAAAAGTCAAGTTTACAAGGTTGAATAGACTCGCGACGTGTGATGTATTGGGCTGTGTTGTCATTTAGGTGAAAAAATCGAGTTCAAGATCATGATCTATGGATTACATAATTTTGTGGCAGTGATTGGGATGCCAGCGAATCCTAAATATCACGCTCCCCACCCTTCAAAGGGACATCGTCTGAGCATTACATCAATGTCTCCCAAATCCTACCAATACAGTAGAAACAGCAGATTAACACAAGGGCAAACAAGGCAAAAAAAATTAAAACACTGAAAAAGGCAGAACTGTTTTTCGTGTTATGATGTTTTTCACCTTGTCCACCCATGTTCGAATAGACAATGAACAAGAATCAATGATAAAGTATCTTCTTTCCCTCCTATTACTTTTTGGGCTCAAAGGGTAAATTCCGGTTTTTAGGAGCGAGAAGTCTGAATTTATGCATAATAAAACATTAATATCTTGTTTTGGAGTCACTTTCAATGATTTTCGTTACACAAATCGTGTTTTACATGAAATTTTGATTCCGTTCCGTTCTCATCTCCATCAGTTCGCCTTCAATATCTCGGTTGTGCAATTTGAGCGGCTTGGGAGCAGTAATAGTTGCTCATTGCATTCCGGGCAAGATTGCGCGATTTGTTCATATAGTTGTAGCGGCTTTATAATGCTACTTCCCGATATTACCTGTTGTTTACTTGCTGTATCACAATCGCAATGATTTGAAATTATATTCGAAACCACGGGATTCAGTTTATATCTCTTAATTTCTCGCTACCCCAGATGATACCTCCTGTGACAGACCTTCTGTGAATATCCCTTTTTGTCTCACAAGTATATCGTTGCCAAAAGCAATGTTGCCTTTCAATGTCCTTTACATTTCTGTAAAGTGAGATTAAAGGCAAAGTTTTACAAGCACTCCGTGCCGACATACAAGGAAAATATGGGATAGGTATAGAAAAAGAGCACATTGGTGTCCTTTAAACAAAACTTCACACTTACCTCTATAATCGGAGGTTCGTTTAAACACATGGCATTTAAATGCGGTTGATTATGCGGGCTCCTGACATTTCGTTTTAAGCGATGAGAGAAACCATAGTGAGTCGCGGTGATAAAACTTCCAGTAGAAATTTCCACCAGAATTTTCTCGCTGTACATGTGAGTATCAGTACCTATCTGATTCCTCCGGTATTTCATATTCATTTAATTCATCAGCCTCATCCGCTTCATGACGTTTAAACTTAACTTTTGTGCTAAGTCCAAGAATATCAAGTCGGAATTTTCCTCTGTGTAGTTTCCATCGATGAAGATTCTTCTGCGAAATTTATTTCTTGCGAGACAAAAAATTATGCACTCTTCAATTAAATTATTGTTGGCGCGTATGTGAGACGTCTGATACCATAATTGATAGATAAATGTCAGTACATAGCTGCCTGCTAAAAATTCTTTCCTCTTCACTAATGAATGGAAAGTACGTAGCTTCTGCCATGATTCCATCCCACTTATTCCAGATTAAGGTGATTTGATAGACGCCATATTTTGTGTCAAAACTGCATGGCATTAAGTGCAGTTTCGATATCAGTATAGATTGCAACATTTTTCCTCTTGAAAAACCTCTGCCTTTATTGCGTTGAATTTGTTTGTCAAATTTGGTAAGTGAATTTTTTAGTCTCGTGACAACAAAAATGCGACCTCACAATGTAATAAAAATGACAATTGAAAACATGAAATTATATCGATTCGATACATCGCATGTCGTTCTGACACAAAATACGGCGTCCATCAAATCACCCTAAGGATGAAAAAAATACAGAGCAGATCCCGTGTGTATAATATTTGATACTACAGTAGCGAGTAAAAAAGCAAGGACAATTTTGCATCAAACTTTGATAGAATCTGGGCTTATTGACATTCTCGGTCAGCAGTTCAGAGACTATCAGAGACAGTGCAAACCGCGAAACCACGGAGACCTACTCGCATCTTGGCTTAAAATCGCAACACCTGGACTTTTAACACGCCGGCGTTCAAATAGGCGGGAGTACAATTAGAGTTATCCGGCGTTATCGTCCCATTTTTCAGTTTATAATTCAATTGAACGGATTTTTGTCATTTCATAACCTTAATGGGCCACGGCGACGAAGAAAGAGTTATCCTTTCACTTCCTCCTGACCAGTGCCACGCCCTCCGCCGCACAGTTAGCTACATCTAGTAGTGTTGTATCTACGTTTAACACACGTTTTATAACTCAAATCGACAGAGCAATCCTGAAGCACGTTTAACTGGCAGAGTTTGGGAATCATCCATGGAATGAGTATGCTACAACCTAGATCCTGGCGTAGACAGGATAATGATTGACCTTAAGTATTGGCTTTTAACTATCTCACAAAAGAACAATACTTACTAGAAAAGTCCGAATAATCATACTTAATTGAAGTTGTTGAAGTTGAAACAGGACCCCAAGCATGAAGGCGTTGAATGACTTTTTGGGGGGATAATTGAGGAATTTGTCTTCAAATGGAACAAATCTTTAAATAAATCATGACCAAAACGGAGTATTAGAGCCTAATCGCCAAATCATCAACTTTAAAATGTGAGGGGGACGAGGGTGCAATATCTTAAGGCCCTCCATACACACTGATCGTATTTACGTTAAATTTTGACTCGCAAAACAAAAACCGCAATTTTCATGTAATTTTGTCGAAAAAGCGTACAATCATTATTGTACAGGGCAGCTGTATCCATATTCATTAAAAATATTTGACCCTATCCGAAAGAAAATAATCGTTTTTCGCACGAAAGAACGTTACTATATATTTCAATGTTGTTAAATTTCTCCTCGCAAACTGAATTTGTACCACGAGAATCTCGGGCATTTCTAACTGAAAAAAATTCCTCGATTTTTCTTCTTACATCATGCAATAGTTAGTAACATTTTGGCAAAAATTGCACTTTTAATTACCTTTGAAAGAATTGAATTGCTTGACTCAATTTGCAACCTTGGAATGGAGTTACGTCCTTTCGTTTGGGAACCCTGGTAAAAATTGGCAGTAGAATGTGTGTTCCAAAATACTATAGACCTGTAGCCGGCTGTACAATTTCTTATAGCCTTTTATAGCCGATGGCGATTAAGCAACAGCCAGACGATAAAGTATTGTGCTAAACGTTACTAAATACGGATACTAGGACTTAGTTAGTTTTTGGACTACCGCTCTCGTTTTGTGCCGTAGTATCTTGATTTATTTTGCGAGGAAAACTCCGTACTTTTGAAGGATGCCTATCATTCTCAATGTGTTGGAGCGCCTTAAATTTCTTTTGATACTGTGCAACACCTCTGGTGTGAAATAGTTGCTTCAGAAGCCGTGGCACGCTGCGGCGCGGCGGGCGGGCAGAGAGTGCAAAATGCGCATTGGCGCCTACAAACCTAACAGAGATACTTCACGCATTGCGCAATGCGTGAAGTATCCCTGTTAGGTTTGTAGGCGCCAGTGCGTCGCCGCGCAATGCTTGAAGTATCCATGTTAGGTTTGTAGGCGCCAATGCGTCGCCGCTCCGCTTTGTGTTAGGCTCTAATATTTAAGTCATGCGTCC